AATGCTTATTAACAAGATAGTGACAGCATTCTAGAGTGGAAAATAGGAAACAATTGGAGCTCAAATTTCAGCACTGACAACTAGCAGATGCATGACCTTGATTGGACAAGTCTCACTAAATCTACCTTGTTGGACTATTATGACAATGAGAAATATTACTTTAAAAGCACCCATCACAGTATGTGGTACATAATAGAACCTTGATAAATGGAAGACATAATGCAATTAGTAATAATGGATGGCATGATATATTCTCAATTACTCATGATTAAAATCCCAAGCTGGAAATTGGTCATCTCAATTAAACATTTCTTTAATTAACCTCAGATAAATAGAATGGTGAAATCCTTGTTCAAGTTTGTAGCTTACAAAAGAATCTAAGAGAAAAACCACAATTTAAAATACACAATGTGCTCTTTCTAAAAGCTTCTAATACCTCTGAGCAGTCAAGAATATGAATCCCTGTTGAGCCAAAGAATAAGAATGCATTCTTTGTGAAGGAAAAAATGATTAAATTGCATCTTACAGACTAGTGATTTAAACTGTGATCAAATCCACTATAGTTGGGGGCCCCAGTTAATCCATTTACTGTGAACATTATTAAACATTTATTAAATGCCAGTGCATGGTAAAGAATTTCAAAGGTATGGTTTTGTTCAGTGAGCTTCAAAAAGCCAAGAACATAAAACTACTAAATGTATCAGCTAATCCCACCATATGCACATTCACAAAATAGAAGCACCACAATTACTGAAGCACAGAAAGAGGTTTTGGATCCATCAGAGAGGTATTCAGAAAAAGATCACTGCTGATAAGCAATAAAATATTTATTTGGATTGTAAAATTTGATTAGAAAGAAAATGTATCTAAGACATGGGCTAAATTATCTGTCTTTTGAAATAAGAAGGAAAATAAAATTTAATATCTTAAAAATATTGCATCTTACAAAAGATAGAATCTGTTAGCTGTTCTGTTAGGAGATCAAGAAAATTTAGAGTAGTATTTCTGAATCATATGTGAAAGAAATGCATGAAGTGCTGAAGTGAAGGTTCCTGGGCTTCCACCCCAGAATCTATAAAATCAAATATTCGGAAATTTAGCCTGGGGATAGGCATTGTTAACAAACTCCCTAGATGATTCATGTGCACTATAATATTGAAAACCAGCTACC